CAGGTGGTGTGGTTCCCTGACTGGGAAATGAACCCTGGGCCACAGCAGTGAGAGCACCAAATCGTGACCACTGGACTATCAGGGCTGGCTAGGAAATTAACACAAGCATTAAATTAATTATGCATAAGGCACTTAGAATTCTTAGTCCAGAAAAAGTGCCCAATAAATGTTAGCCTCTATTATTATCGCTATTACTGAATACACACCTACAGCATCCAATCACCGAAATGGTTCTAACGACAAGGGCGGCCAGTGGTGAGTTATGGGGAACGAGCCCCATGTTTGAGTTAGGACTCAGGGGGTACGAGGAGGGACCGAAAGCTGAGTAGAAGTTGGTGCTGGCTCGATGAGCAACGGGAACGCCCAGCAACTGAAATCATGTTTTCAGGACTGCAATATTTGACAAAAACAGCTATTTCAAATAGTTCAGGCTGTACAAAGGACAGTAAACACAACCGCCACGCTATCCAGAAGATTCTAGGCCCCTAGGGCATGATGTGAAGCAAAGGGAAACACACCCGAGGAGGGGGCGTAAGGGTGCATAGCTGAGAGCCTGGCGCCTCCCTCTGCTCCACTGGGCAGGACAGAGATGACAGAGTGTGGCCATTGGGACGGGAGAAAGTATCAGCCACGTTGTCACCGTGACTCCACAGCCAAGAAAATCCAAGAGCATCATCTGAAAACCATGAGAACTAATTTGAGAGTTCTGGAACGTGATGGTGCAAATTACATAAAAGTCTACAATGGATAATAACAGGAAATAATAATTGGAGAAAATCTCATTTAAAATAGGAAAGATACCTATAAAATTCATAACTTCAACAAGAACCTCGTGGGACCCAGGGATTTCGTTTGCACCATCTCACTTAATCCCCACAGTCACTGTACCATCACTGCCTTTCACAGACGGCCAGCATGAGGCTCAGAGCAGCGATGCCCAGGGCACAGGGCCAGCCAGGGTGCAGTTAGCAGGAACTGGGCAATGGATTCCTAGCGGCTGTATTATTTCTCTCCTTCTCTCTCTTTCTTTCTCTCTCTTTCTAGCTTTCCTATAGGTCAGTACAAAAATAAAAGGCAAATGATAACTTGGAAGGCATTATTGCAATCATACATCAAAAAAAGCTTTAGCATCAGTAATATACATATAACTACATTTTAGAGATCACTTGAAAAAAAGACATCACAAAGGGAAGCAGATAAATGACAGGGCAGTTCACAGAAGAAGAAAGGCTATTGACAAAAACCCAAAAGATTTCAACCTCCTTATTAATCAAATAAATGCAAATTAAAAGTTACTGAAATAGCATTTTTTTCTCTTATAGATTTGACAAAAGATTAAAAAGGTAATAATAAATTCATTAACTAGTGCATCCATGCAATAGAATGTTAAGCAATCATTAAAAATATCTTTTGGAAAATATTTTAAGGACATGGGAAAATCCAATGTTAAATCAAAAAATAGAAAAAGAATTAATAAAACTGTCATTAAAATATATATATGAGAGAAAAAGACTAGAAGGAACTTTTCCAAAAATTTTTACAATAGCTATCTCTGTATGCTGAAATTATAGATGATTTTAATTTTCTTCTTTAAACTCTTCTCTATCTTGTGAATTTTCTACAATGAGCTTATATTACTTTTAACATTGGGAAAAAATACTTCCTTTAAAATAATTTTAAAATGGACTTAAAAACCAAATTCCAGGGGCTGGCCCCGTGGCTGAGCAGTTAGGTTCGTGCGCTCCGCTGCAGGCGGCCCAGTGTTGCGTGGGTTCGAATCCCGGGCGCGGACATGACACTGCTCATCAGACCACGCTGAGGCAGCGTCCCACATGCCACAACTAGAAGGACCCACATCGAAGAATATACAACTATGTACCGGGGGGCTTTGGGGAGAAAAAGGAAAAAATAAAATCTTTAAAAAAAAAAAAAAAAAACCAAATTCCAGCATAACCCCTTTTGGCAACTCTTAAGTATTGATTAAATGAGCTTAGAATAGGTATTCTCAGTTGTGGGAACATATATGAATTGTGACGTGTAGGAATTTTTTAAGTTGTCGTGTGTCCTTGTGGAATTTATCCTGAGGATGGATCATGTTTCATGTTTCAAAGACAATATTTACTTTTTATTTGTCTTTGATTTAAAAAAGCAAGGAAAGGGACTTTGTCAAAGTCAATCAGATAAATGTAATCCAATTATGAAAATAAATTTGCCCTCGACCTTCCATTACTTCAAAAAGAGGAATCTTTCCATCTCCGTGCGTTTCACACGGCAGATCCACGGCAGCTGCTCTGATTTGGCCCCCAAACTGCCCGGTCAGAAGCATCAGGATGAAGCGTTCTCGAGGGGACTGGCCAGCGAGGCCTGGGTCTACTGTCAGAGGAAGCCACACGACCTCTGAAACAGCAGAAGGGGCCGCTCCAGGTGACACCAGGGCCTGAGAAGCCTCTCCTGACCCTCCCAGGCCCTCAGGTCGGGGGAAACAACCCCCATTGACTGCCAGCCTCACGGTTCCCTCTGCCTTTCCCAAGAGACGACTTCCAAGAGCGGGTTATGAAGGAATTGCGTTAATCTACTTTTCTAAAACTAGGATGTTTTAAAAATGTAAAATGTTTATTTTGGATTATCCCAGGTTGATTGCTTGTCTTTCTTATAATATAATTTGAACTCGCCTTTTTATTATAAAAATAAGACACTGAAAAAAAAAGACTTCTAACAGTACAGAAGAACATGACACTCTCTGGTCCCCAGAGGCAGCTGTGCTAACATCTTCCCGTGCAGCCTTCCAGAAATTTCCCATGCGTATACAAACATACTTAATAAATTAAATGTGCATATGAATATATATACGTATGTCTATGTATGTGTATATGTTATATATTTTAACTTAGGCAGGGTCATAATTGGACACAGCACTTTCAACTTGGTTTTTGTCACCGAACAATAAATTGGATTTTAAAATCATCTATGTAAAAGCAAAGAATCATTTCATTTATGGAAGGTCTCTTTGTGGACACCTATTCTCTGAAGTCCTGAGAAAGGGAGAGAAGTTCCCAATAACGGAGGTTCATGAACCCAGGGCACGTCACCCTCCTCAAGACCAAAATGAAGGTTTGAATTAGAAACCAAGGTGACGGACTGAGAAGACTCAGTTCTTTTGACACAATGCCTCTCTACCTAAATTTCCATGATTGCACCAAATCATCCCCAGTGTGTTTCCTCCAGATACAATTACGTAATTGGATCAGAACGAAAAACAGCAATACTGTTAGCTTGCACAATTCACTGCTTATGTGTGAAATTTCGAGACCACTCTTCTCTTCTCAGCAGAAGGCACGGTCCTATGGGGGCTTGCTGTTTCTTTGGGGGAGGGGGCGCACGAATGAGCAGATGGTCACAGTATGGTAGGAAGAACAATGGCCTGCTCACGGAGGTCGAGGTGCTCTGCGAGTCTTAACGATCCCACGAAGTAGGTATGAGTCTTGTCCTCATGTCACAGAAGAAGAAACTGACCCAGAGAAGGTAACCGCCTTGTCTAAGGCAACACAGCCAATCCTTGGGGAGCAAGGCTCCGGTCTGTGCTCTTAATCATCATGTGAACTGCCTGCAGGAGGACTGGGGGGCACTGTCAGAGGTCAAGGAGGAGACAGGCAGGCATCAGGGAGGAAGCACTGAGAATGGGGTTCATAAAGAGTCTCGACTTGTGCAAGAAGCTAGTGAGGTAGAGGGGTGGGGGAAGGGAGAAGAAGGTGGACAAGTGGGGACAGCACCTGAGGCTGTAAGCCCCACCCTCTGAGGGTCTCAGCCAAGGAGGGTGATGGTTGAGACCCTGGCAGAAACCCCAGAGTGGCTGACGAGCATGTGGGAACATCTGTGTGTGTCTTCCTGTGTGTGCAGCATGGTGAGGGGGTTCGATGGTGCCAAGGAGGAGAGGACCTGTGGATGTGGGTCTGAGAGAGCCACCTGTCCCCTGAGACCTGTGCTCCGGGGGACATCAGCATCCTGAGGGAGCCAGTACCGCAGAGGCAGTGGGCTCAGAAACGACAGGCCTGGATTGCAGGTGCCCAGTGACTGGAGGCACATGGCAGAAACCACAGGCTGCCTACCACAGATACAAACATCTTGTAATGTAATTTTTGAGGGGAAGTTTGATTTTCTACTGCCAGCAGATTAAATTCTCTGGTCCTGATGAGCCAACCGAAGCTGGTGTTTGGGCATCTCTGGACCTAACGTGACCATTAAAGAAAACCGATGGCCAGCTCTGGCCTCCATGGCTCTGGGGCTGGTCACACCGTCTGCCCTCTTTCCTTCCTCACTTGAAATAAAACAGAGTTTGAAGCTGCTCTGATCGGGTTACCTACGACGTGTTTGTTCTCCTGTGTGTGCTTCTCTGATAAAGTATACCTTTCAGAAACCATCCCTTGTAAACAAGCTTTAAATCACTTATCATTTCATTTAAGAGCATTACAGAAGACCCTTAATCCAGGAAGGCCTGGGCTTGTTCCCATAACTGCTATGCACCCCTCATTTCAAGGAGGCCTGGGGGCCAGGTGTCAGGTCCCGGCGTCAGCAGCTGCCTCAAAGGATTATGACAGTCAGGGACCATGATTGAAGATCTCCAGCCTCTTATAAGCAGAGAGGCCGGCCAAAGCCCAGAAAGGAAGGGTGGCACGACCTGCTTGTGGCTGCATTCCTTGGCTTTTGGATAGACCTGGCCCGTGAAATCCTCCCATTGTGGGGCTGTATCATCCACCCATGATGCCCAGTTCCATGTGGTCTGAGAAGCATCGTACAGACTGTCGTTTTAAAAAAGATACCAGTAATTTCACTCAAAAAAAATTAGTCCCTGAATTCTTAGCCTTGACATTTCACTTCTCTAAAATGAAAACAAAAATGCTCAAGACTCTGTATCAACACGCTTCTGTGCTTAAAAACATACAAGAATCTCAACCACTACAGAAGACCCCGCCGGGGGCTATCCTCGCGGGGCTCAGGCTCACCTGCACTCGATGAACCAGTGCCGGATCTGGTCTTGAAGGTTCTCCTTGATGTCTGTGCCTTCCACTAATTTCAGGCTGTCCTTGATTGTGATCAGAGCCTCTTTGTAGTCCTCTTCATGCCGGCTCTGCACCTCGTTCCGCAGGCTGATCACCTTTTCGGCCTGGATTATTGTAGCGCTGACTTTATTAAACAGAGGAGGTGGATTCTGAAAAGAGAAGCAAAAAGATTTGAGATCATAAAGGTTACAGAGCTGGCAAAAAAATATTAGACACTATTGAAAGACATCTGTATCTTCAATGGTGTCTTACCAAAGGCTCCGGAACAAAGGAATCCGGCCCGGCAGGAAAGTCTGAAGGAGTGATTCACCACCATGGGGCGGAGGGCTGGCCATCACTCTATACTGTTGCCCAGAATCGGGCTGAGGGGGGGAGTTAGCTTGAAAAACGCATATTCAATAGACCTTTTTAAAAAAAATCATTCAAACTACAGAAAATTAAGCTTTTCCAAATCTTGGCTGGTGGGAGAGCAAAGAATATAGAGTAAGAAAGTATTTGAAGCAAGAGCTGGTGAAAAGAGTTTGGCTGCTCTGATTTCAAGAAAAACCACCAAAATCAACCCTGAAAATATCTGTTCTATTGTTACAGACCTCCAAAGAAGGAAATTCTCTGTTGACTCTAGATATTCACCCTGATATTACATCTTATTACTAGAATATTCTGGGGCCAGCCCGGTGGCATAGTGGTTAAGTTTGTGCACTCCGCTTCCGTGGCCTGGGGTTTACAGATTTGGATCCTGGGTGCGGACCTACACACCACTCATCAAGCCATGCTGTGGTGGCATTCTATATGCAAAATAGAATAGGATTGGCCCAGAAGTTAGCTCAGAGCCAATCTTCCTCACCAAAAAAAGAAGAAGAAGAAGAAGAAGAAAAAGAATGTTCTTTCTCAAAATCTGCTGACCAGCAAGTCAAAAAATATCTGGCTATTGAGGACCAACTATAGATGTTTAGCACTGGGCCAGCATCTGTGGAGCCCTGTGGTAAGAGGAAATACAGAATCACTTGGAGACATAATTCTTGTTCTTTGGAATCCCTAAAGAAATGAAGTTGGCAGCAGATGAGTAATGCACGTCATAATAGGGAACAATGTCAGGTAATCTGTAAGTGTCTATATTGTGGATTTGGATGGAAAGAATAAGAGGAACTTGGAGAAGAAAATCACGTATGGAGCTGGTGCTGCCTGGAATCATAGGTATGAGAGTTGAAGGATGGTTCTCCTTTACAGATAAAGATACCGAGCCCTAAGGAGTTCAGAGACTCAGTCCAGGTCATGTAGCAAAAGAAGGGCAAATCCAGTGGTGTGCTGGACCAACCCGCAATGGCGTGTGAGATCCAACAGATACATTTTCAGAAATTGTGCAAGCTGGTTGCCAAAATGCTAAATTAACAGCCATTTAAAAATGCTAAATTATATAAATTTATACTTAAACAAGTTACATTAAGAACAAAAGTTATCAATGCTCAAAACTCATCACTTCCTAATTATTTTTACTGGATTTTATGATCACCTATGCTCCCGACATTATTTATATCTGTTGTATCTCTACGTTGAAGATATTGTATAACGGCGTGCTACAGTGCGTATCTTCCCCACTGTGTTCATTCAGGTTAGTAGCTTCAAGTTGGCTGTGGTGAGAATATTTACACCATGGAAATTAGCAAACACTATTAATCAAGACTTCATGTATTGTTGTGATTTCATTGTCTAGACTTAAGAAAATGGTAGAAAAATAATAATGCAGAGAAACATAAAAACGTGCCATGTCTGTATCAGTTATATTGTGACTATCACAAAAATTTGAGGAAATAGTCTTCCAATATTCAAATACTGTAATCTGATTCAGCAAAGGCGTGCCCAATTTTAAAAAGTGATGAACGAGTGAAATTCTGATATACACTTTGTTGTTTCACCTTGCTCATTAAGGCAAATAAAAATATCAATCATCATTCATCTCAGAATGACATTCGTCAATTACAACCACAGGCTGACAACAGATCCAAGAGTTTAGAAAAATCCAGTAAAGCCTTCTGTGAGAATTGATGGCTATGTGGAATTTGCAACAAAGAGCAGTATATATTTTGTTATTTGTAAACTGTGTCCACATCCTTATATCAATGGAATTATAATAAATTAGGTATGAATAGATATCATATATTTTTTCTGAAGAGCCATAGTTAAGTATTACCAGCCCACCACTGCATGCATCCAAGACTAGAACTCAGTTGTCCTAGAAGGTCCTCTCATCACTCATTGGTCATGTGCATCCTACCCATGGTCCAGCTTCTGTGAGCCTTCCTTCCCAAAGAGGCTATGTGATGTGGAATCGTCAAAGAGTGCTCAGACTCTAGGGCAAAGCTAACCTTGAAGGATGTTTGTTGACTCAGAAGCATAAAAGTAATTTCCTCTTCTTGGAAAAGGGGAAAACATAAGCCAAGGCACTGAAGTGGAAAGAGAAGGCAGGCTGTGGGTAAGAGATGTGTAGAAGAATTAGCAAATCTACAAATCCTTTATACAGAGCAGTGGCTCTTAACTTTTTTGTGTCTCAGAGACCTTTGTCTGGTGAAACCTATGGATTGATTACTTCTCAAAATAATGTTTGCAAATGCATAAAAGTAAAATACATAAATTGATAAAGGAAACCAATTACAGTCATGTACCATATAACGACATTTTAGTCAACGACAGACCGTATATACGATGGTGGTCCCATAAGATTAGAACCATGTAGCCTAGGTGTGTAGTAGGCCATGCCATCTAGGTTTGTGTAGCTACACTCTGTAATGTTCAAACAATGACGAAATTGCCTAATGACCCACTTCTTAGAATGTGTCCCCATCCTTAAGTGACACATGACTGCGTATTGACACCCAGCTCTATTTGGTGGTGATTAGACTTGGGTCATGGGTTATTGAGAGGAAGCACAGAGGTAAAGTGCCTTTTCATCACCTCATATCAAGGGTACACACTATCAACGTGATTTATGACGCTGTTAACCTTGATCACCTGGCCGAGGAAATAGCTGTCAGGTTTCCCACTCTCAGGTTTTGTCTCTGCTCCCACATTTATTAATTTATTCAGTCTTTTATTTATATCAGTATGGACTCAAGGATATTTATTTTATACCTTGGGTTACAAGACAATACTACTTTACTACTTTGTTGTTCAAGCTGTCCCAGGGTTGGCCTCTGGAAGCTCTTTCAGTTGTACTTAGCTCCTGTGTCACTGTGGAATAACCTCCATCGTTGTGTGTATGTATGTGTCCTTTGTGTGTACTCGTTTTACATGCACATAATTTTAAAACCTCAAATAACTGCCTCCTCAGTTGTCTCACATCCCCCAAGTCTAAGACCACAGCAATAGGGAAAGGTTAGTTTCTTCAATAAATGATGTTGGGAAAGCTGGATGCGCACATGCAGAATGAACTTGGATCCTTACCTCACACCATATACAAACGTCAACTCAAAATGGCTTACAGATTTGAACATAAGACCTGGAAACATAAAACTACTATAAGAAAACAAAGGGAAAAAGCTTCTTGACATTGATCTTGGCATGGAATTTTTGGATAGGACGCTAAAAGCACAGGCAACAAAAGCAAAAACAGACAAGGGGGATTAAACTAAAAACCTTCTGCACAGCAAAGGAAACAATCAATAGAGTGAAAACAACAGAAGAAACTTACAGAATAGGAGAAAATATATGTAAATAATATATCTGATAAAGGGTTGATATCCAAAATATATAAGGAATTTATACGACTCAATAACCTGACTAAAAAATGGACAAAGAATCCGAATAGACATTTTTTGGAAGAAGACCTACAAGTGGCCAACAGGTACATGAAAAAGTGCTCAACGTCGCTAATCGTCAGAGGAACGCAAATCAAAACCCCAATGAGATATCACATCAGTTAGAATGGCTATTATCAAAAAGGCAAAAGATAAATGTTGGTGAGGACGTGGAGAAGACAGAACCCTGTACACTGTTGGTGGGAATGTAAATTGGTGCAGCCATTATGGAAACAGTATGGAATTTCCTCAACAAATTAAAAATAGAACTACCATATGTTCCAGCAATTCCATTTCTGGGCATATATCCAAAGGAATTGAAAATGGGGTCTTCAAGACATAACTGCACCCTCACACGCATTGCAGCATTATTCACAATAGCCAAGATATGGAAGCAACCAGGGACCACTTTAAATATGAAAACCCAGATCATTATAAGGAATGTTCTTTTATTATTTCTTTACAATATCCTTCCTCTATTTCCTTAGTTCTTTTTTTTTCCTGGAACTCCTGCAATTTTCTTTACACACATCCCTCATCCTTCCCTTTGTCACTTTGCTATTTTCTGAACTTTCTCTTTCAACTTTGTTGTTTTTTTTATTTTTTAAGTTTCTACTACTATATTTTTACTTTTCAATAGCTCTTTCTTGTTCTTTGATTCTCTTTTTTCAGCATTAGGTTCTAATTGTTGGACTCAATAATCTTCTTTTATTTCTCTAAGGTTATTATTACCTTTAGGATTTTGCTTTTTATTTTTCCCTCATATTGGTTTTTTTTCCAATTTCTTTTCTGTTGGTTGGTTTTGGTCTCTGTCTTTCCTAAGGGTCTGGTGACCTTTGTTGTCCACCCTTATTTAGGAGAGAGGCACCCAAAGCTGTCTGGTAGCTGTGTAAGGGGGTTGCTGACTGGTGGGGACACAGCTGCTTTATGGGAGGAATCTGAATATCAGTATCTGAATGTCTTTCTTTGGAGCTGCTCAGTTTCTGTCGACAGAAATCCTCCAGTCTGTTCCTAAGAGATATAAGCATGACTGCTTGAGAGTTAGGAGCCAAGCAGGGGAAGAGAGCTGGTGGTCCCACTGCTGAGAATATGGACCTCCTGTTAATCCTCCCTTTCAGAACAGGACCTCGCTCACTCCCCACTGCGCAGAAAGAGCAAGATAAACGTGCGTATTTCCTCTGCGGAGTTAACCAAAACCCCCTAACACAACTCACGCTTCTTTGTTATGATTTTTTCAGCATCAACATGTTTGAAGTCTCTCTCCTGTCAATAGCGTATAACTGGCTTTTGAAAAACGCAATCTGAGAATTATAGAAAAGAGGAATTTTATTCATTTATGAGGATAAAATATTTGGAGA